TTATCACCAGATTTATACAGTGGAATAACCTTTGCTATTTTCATATTATTGGGGAACTGCCCAAGTCGAAACGACATGTTAAAAATATGGGTTAATGGTTTACATATCCCCTCAATTACCCATTTGACAGTTGTCATGGTGATACCATCACTATCACTGGATGTTTTGTTTCCACATTTGTTCACTATCTCTATAATTTCCTTTTCAGCTATGGGCTTCAAAAACATGGAACTCATGTTCCTTTCGATTGTATTATTATTTATAGTGACGGATGTATCATCTGTACAGATACTTTTTGCTAAACCAGTTTAGTTTAATAGTCTATTTTTCACCTTTGCAAGATCACGACATCTTTATCAAATGTAATGTCATTATGCTCAGAAGTATAATGTGCATCATCACTTATGCATGCTGCTGAGATATATCAGCTATATCAGTTACCAAATATGTATTGTGTTAATTTCTCAGATTCTAGGATTTGAAAATTTCCAGTGCTAAACCTAGAGTTTCGTAGCTAAGACATATTCCTACATGAATGATCTTCAACAGACGTGCAATGTGCTATACATATATTTTTGGTCTGATGCATTATCTTGTAAACATAATTTTAATATAGCTGCTAAAGGTGTTGCTAATTGTACATCATCATGTGTTTTTATGAAATCTTCAACTGCAAAATAATGAATGTAGTAGAGTAAAAAGATATTTTCTCCCTCAGAAATGTAATTATAAAATAGCATAACATGGAAATACTCCATCAAAGAGCAAGTACCTCAAATGTGTGGTTTAGCACAGTATGTCTACTTAAGCAGTTTCATTAAGTACATTTGAGTTTTCAATTACGTTCAAGCACTGACAACTGTGTCAGTTTATGCACATGCTGAATGTTTTATCTTTTTTACATATCAGCTTTGAATACATTATTCAAATGTTGAGTTTTGGAGAATATTAAAAGAGGATTAAAAGATTTAGCTTTGTGCCATATTCAAGTCATTAAAGCAACAAGCAAGAGGAGGCGATTGAGTTAACACCAGGTCATACTGAACATTTACTATTTCAGCAGAAACTCAAATGGAACAATAATGATGCTGTGTTTTCTGGATGCGTTTGGTCTGTTAACACCATAGATATATAAGGTCATATTGTGAATATATTAAAGAGAACTGAACTCTTCAAATGATACTGGACCCAGTGGATCAAATTCTGATAAAGTCACTTTTTCATTCAGTGAGATAAATGCTTTTTGGGCCAATGTGTGTCACATGAGGAAACTGTAATAACAAGGTTTGAACACTGCCAAATTTGCTTCACAACCCATCAGAGCCCAGTACTGTTCCTGCAGACATGGGTGATAGAATCTAAAGTCTGTCTCTCTTCCTCTCTCTCTCTCTTTGTGGGTGGTTAGCACTGGCACCTCACAGCAAGAAGGTTCCAGGTTTGAGCCAGGTCCTTTGTGTGGGAATCTTGCATGTTGTTTCTTTGCCTGCATGGGGTTAAGGTTAGCTGGGTACTCCAGCTTCCTGCCACAGTCCTGAAAGTGTGCACGAAGGACTCAGCAAGCAGTAATACTAACACTATTTGTCATAATTGAACCAGCTGTAAAATGATGCCAGTCATTCCTTTTTTAGGGTGCAGTTTTTTTGTCAACAGAAAGAAATTAATCATTTATCTATCTGAATCATGTAATCTCTTTAAACTATGGTTTTTGATCAACGACTGTGATAGCTCAGTAAATACAACAACTTATCACAAAACAGCATGCACATTCTTATATTATGCAATGAAAACAAATGTACAAGTATTGTGACTGTGGGTCAACAAGCTTTATTCTTTTTTTATTGTGCTGCCAGGTTAGGCAGTGGTTGCTTTTGAAAGCCCTGCCTGTTTCACTGTAATCTGGAGTAATGTGTTTATTCTGAATTGCTTAAATCACATACAGTTTACACAGAATGTGGTGTCAAACATGGCTGTAGCTGTTGGACCAGTAGAACATTTTTTCCTATAATTGATAGATGTGGTTTGCTTTGCTTTCATTGTTGGGATTGTCCCAGATCCTTTGTTCAAGTTAGCTTGTGGCTTGCAGTTCATCCAGTGCATCCTGGAGCCTGTACAAAACACAAATGAAGTATTTTGACTTTCAAATATTCATGTTGAACAGGCCACATGACTGCTTCCAACTGAAAGTACTTCATGATGTAGTTATACTTGACCATGCAAACCATAGTAACAAATAACTTTAGTATTCACCTCCACCACCATCATCACCTTGACTTGATCAGTTTTTTCTCCTTCACCTCCTTATAACTCTTACTTGAAGTCTCCACCATCCAGAAGAGTCTTGTAAGTGGCAATCTCTGCCTCCAGCTTCATCTTCAGGTTGAGGAGCGCCTCATACTCCTGGGTCTGATTCTGGATATTTGCCCGCAAGCTCGTCAGCTCCTCCTCCAGGCGAATAATAATAGCATTGTTCTTCTCTATTTCTAGGTTGTTTCTTAGCTCTGTGTTGCGTAGTGTATCTTCTAAGGAGGCTTTCTAATAAAGGATTGAAAAGAAGCAATGAGAGGTTTGCCAAAAACAGTTTAGACAAGCAAGTCTTATTTGAGAGACCATGGGAAAGCTCCAACCTTTGTGAAAAAGATTATTTAGAAATGATTTGCTGCTTTTCTAAAAAAATATGACAAATTCTGAATGGGTGATATGTAATGTAAGCAATAGGCAGGGTACTTTAGTGAAGACACTCTAATTAGAGAGTTCAATTACTTGATGTTTGTGAATGAAATGAATAAATATAAATCAGTCATGTTTGTGAAAGGCATGCTTACTAAGCTCTGCTGGGATGCAAGTTCAATTTCCAGAGTCTGTATCTGTCTGGCCAAGTCATTCTTCTGCATCTGGGCCCCCTGGAGAGCTTCTGTGTTCTGTGATACCTGCGCCTGTACGTCTGCAATCTGACCAAAACAAAAAAAAAGGTGTTAGTTCAAAAACAAGATAATTCAGAAGTAAATGTTTTGTGATTCCAATTTTCAGCACTGCTTTACCTGATTTTCATGCCATTGTTTGAGGTCCTCTGCATTCTTTACGGCAATCTTCTCATAGGTGGCCCTCACGTCCGCTATGATCTGCGCTAGGTCCTGACCTTTAGGAGCATCTACATCCACCTGCACACCTGACTGGGTGATCTGATTCCTTATCTCCATCACCTCCTGCAGGACAGACAGAATAAGGCAGAAACAGAGAAATAAAATAAAAAAACTTTCAAAACTTTGGATTCTAATCACGGTCCACAGAATGTAAGTGTGAGGATTACTGTAAACCCACATTCTCATGGTTCTTCTTCAGGAAGGCGAGCTCCTCCTTCACAGCATCTATCTCACTCTCAATGTTCAACCGGCTCATGTTGGTGTCATCTATGACTTTCTTCAGCCCAGCAATGTCAGCCTCCACTGACTGGCGAATTGCCATCTCATTTTCGAACCTGCAGGAGTGTGCAGACACAATCAGCTCACACACAAAATTGCACATTTGAAGTTCCAGGGAATAATGAAAAAATACAAAGCTGCTGCTTCAGAAGTCCAGATTTTACATCACATGAACCATAGAATCTCTGTATGGACTTATACTCACTAAGTCTATAACCTCTGACACCAAAGCAGGACAATGTTTATACAACAACTAATTACGGCATACTATTATTATTATTATTATTATTATTAGCATTATTAGAATTATTATTGATGTTAATAATAATAATAATAGATGTTAAACCACTTACTTAACTTTGAAGTCATCAGCAGCAAGACGAGCGTTGTCAATCTGCAGCACAAAACGAGCATTCTCTGCTATTTTATCGAAGATCTGGATAGAAAAGAGAATTGAGGACAAAATGGCTTTTATTAGTTACTTTATTTGGCCAGTGGGTGTAAAAAATAGCTGTTCATTTTTTTCTAATATTGCCAGTTAGAAAAAACATTATCTGTTAACCAGAAGTCTCTTAGCAAGCAATAGCAGCATTTAGATTGCACAATAAAGCCATAACATTGTTGAATCCATAGTAACATTCAGTTAAAAAAAGTGGAACTGCAGACTGAAGAACAGAAAGAGGGGATGTTCCTCTGCCAGACCAGATTCTTTGGCATTGTTTGGAAAATGGGTTTCCTGTCTGAATAAGTCATGCAGACAGTAAGATTTTTTTTCACTCCACTTTTCATGCAGCTGTGCTATTGCCATCTGTGTTTGAGAGTTTAAACTTTGTATGCGTGTCCATAGTAGCCTCTCTCAGAGGAAAGTGGAAACAAAATAAAAAACAAAGTGCCTCCATCAATCGGTCATAATGTGACACTGAAGACCTGGAATCTGAAAAAGAATGTGACTCTGCTGACTGGAGCTGATTGTTATATCACCAGTGCACACACACAATCAGTCATGCTGGCATTCCAAGATCCCTTGTGTGTGTGTCCATACCGCACATCTGTTTCACATTGAGGTCTTCCTACACCAGTGCATGCTTGTGGAGTCACCATTCACAAGTAGGGACTGTGTGGAAATGCTTTTGTCTGGTGAAGGATGGATGTGTAAGAGTTTTTTAGTCTGTGTCTCATGATGATAGCCTCGTGTTGGTGATTCATCAGAGGAAGTTATAGCCATTCTGTGGCACAAATGAGTTTTGTGGGGGGATGGTTAGAGCTTAGCAGCCACACCCTTCATTCTCTTGCAGAAATTTGATAACCTACAGTAGAAATGTGATCCTACTATCCTCGGCATGAGCAATCTCAAGCTTAATTTTGAAAATGAAGCATTATATATATATTAAATACTTTGATACAACATGTTATAACCAGCATGTCTACATTTGAGACATTGTCTGTGATGCTGAACACCATCACATGCAATCACTGATTCTCATATTAGAGGTCCCATAAAGCATTTGTACAGCATTTAAACACTCAGATCTCTCACCATTCTTATTTTCTATGTAGCAGTATCAAAGACTTTAACCAACCACCGCAATGTCCCAGTTTTGTTAACATCTCATTTGATTGACCACTATTTCCTTTCATGCCTACCTTTTTGCGTAGGTCATCAACGATGGGTTCATGCTTGCTGTAGTCTCTCATGTCAGGCCTTCCCTTCTCCAGGGCCTCAATGATTTTCTCCTCCAGCCCCTTGTTGGCCTGCTCCAGGCTCCTCACCGTCTCCAGGTAATTGGCCAGGCGGTCATTCAGGTTTTGCATGGCTCCCTTCTCATTGCCCAGGATCCCAGCATGGGCACTACTATTAGCCAACACAGATGCACCAGCACCACCAAAACCTGCACTCATACCACCACCCATACCACCACCCATACCACCACCCATTCCACTGCTCAACCTGAAGGCAGTTGAAGACGAGGAGAATGGGGCACTGGAACGCAGAGAAGGTGCAGTGGAAATGCGGGCGCCCTCACCACCAGCGCCACCATAAATGCTGGCAGCACGGTAATGAGGTGTAGAGCGAGTCATGGTGATGTATGTAGAAGGTATCTGCTGCACGTTGGTTCTTCGGAAGCTCATTTTGGAGAAGTTTAGGCAAAGAATGAAATGAAAAATGAGATGTGGAAGTTTGCTACTGCTTGCCGGTTTAGAAAGTGACGCTGGCAACAGGAACTGGGGAACTTATACTCCTGCTTCTCCCTTGATCACAGCTGGCCTCTCAGACCCTGCCCACTTCAACATCACTCCGGTCTCCCTTTCCTGCTCCCCCTCCCTGCTCTATCATGTGCTCATTAACCCACATGTTCCTTTTTTTAAAATGTGGATTGAGTTTTATGTCTCCAAGGAAACATGTGAGGCATTTTCTGTTGTGAAAATACTTAAAACACTCACATTCAAGCAACAACAGTAAATCAGTTTAACTGACTGGCCTGTAGAAATCAAATAAATAACAGCTGGCCATAAATGAAACAAAGCAAAGACATCTTGTCCAGTATAAAAGATCTGATTTGATAGAGAAAGATGCAAATAAAACTATTCTTTGCTAAATAAGATTTACTTTGTAAGCAGGAAACAAAATTTCCTGGGCTTGTCCAAAAAAGGCGTAGTGTCTCCACTGGCTGCATAGTTTGTGGGCAGCCAGGCTCTAGAATAAACAGACTTAACCAGCCTTCCTATCTAGTTTAAACTGAGCACGAGATATGGCAGCACAGATTCTTTTAGTTGTAGCTAAAACAGAAAGGGTGGGAGGATGTATTTTTTTAAGATTTTTTTGTTGGTTTTATTAGTTTATACTGTTCAAGTGCAAAAACAGTTAGGGAGAAATGACACTGAATTGATTCAGTCAGATTAACTGCAATCAGAAAGCTATAAGACTTTAAAACAAAATGGACCAAATGGACAGTTACAATGGCGATCAAATTTCAACACTGTCAATAGGATGAACTGTATTAACAATGAAACCTGGCTGGTTTGAAATGACATCCAAGATTTAAATATGCCCAGAAGGCCCTGCAAGACATGAAATGCACAAAAAACAAAGGTTAACTGACACCAAGACCAGAATACAATAGAAAGGAAATAAAAGCCAACCTCATTCACCCATCATGCTACAGGCTATTACCCACTTTGCTTGAGGATTTTGAACAATTATCTTTGAAGTCTAACCTGTGGTTCTTGTCATGGGAACTATCTTTTATATCTCAGTGTGAAAAGAGCTCTTTTTTTCCAAAAATCCTTAGTGAACCAGAAAAAGAAAAAAGTCAGCATGATCAGGATTAATGTTAACATTTTGTCTGCATTTTCAATGAGCAAATACATGCAAATAGACAACACAAATTAGACCCCCAACAAAACAATATGAACCACCCCCAGGGGTAAAATGGCAAAGACACACCCTTCAGAGCTCCCGTACGACCTGGTTTTTTTCCTGATCTTACTTCACCTTCATGGCTGATCAAGTTTCACTGTTTCTCATACTTCCCCTCAAACAGCCTTCAGTGTACAATTATTAACTGATGCCTTTTGATAACACTCAATATGAAGGAAAACAGCATATTGAGCGGCAAGCACAAAAGCTAAGGAAACACCAAAGAATGTGACCTGGAACAGGAACACATGCATAAAGAGGAACAAAGAATGGCTCATACCTCATGACACAGCAACGTCTCTGCTATCATGTTTGTTTGTTTGAATGTGTGGTGGCAACATTTTGCCTCACCCACCTAGAACCCCCTCAGGCCCCACCTCATTAGTGTGTGTGTTTATATATGGCACATACATTTCCTTTTAAATTATTTTAAATTGTTTCCTGCTTACGCTATGTCTAAGTATTTATTTATTTGTTTGTTTTAATAATTTGGATCCATTTTTTGGATAAGACAGGAAGAAAGTGGAGAAAAAGGAGAAGCTGGAGTCTGTGAATCATAGTAACACAGATGAAATCTGGAAACTACTCCAGGAGTTTGTGTGCATTGCAAATCACTGGCAACTCTCAGATTATTAAAACTCTCAGCCTGGGTAGCTTCAGTTCCCTCCCTTGTTTTACCAAAGTCACATTCCTTGTGTGTTCAATAGACTTGGCAAATAAAGGTGATTCTGACTGTGATTTTCTGATTCTAATTCTGATTTTGGCTTTTGTTCTCTTTGGTTTCTTGTAATCCAGCTTGAGTACAAACTGAGTGCCCTCACACACTTATATACAAAGTCAAAAATATCTATTTGCATATGACTGTGTGCACTCTGAAAAATGCAAAAAGAAATGCAGACACGCATTAGGTTTTCTATTCCTCTTTTGATTACTTCCTCACGATTCACCCAAGATGTCCCAAAGCCACCAAAGGGAGCAATTTACAGTATGTGAGTCTACATTGCAGTTTTAAAGCCAGAGTTATTGGCAGAATGTAAGGGTCGCACAACAGAGGTTATTGAAATGTGCTGAGTAAGAGCCATTTTCTCTCTGGGATGTCATGTCCATTAGCACAATGATTTTTCACAGGAAAACATAAGAGGAGCAGTGAGTTAGAACTCATACAACAGAGAGTCATGGTTGCTATCAGACAAGATTTTTTCATTTAAGGAAGTAAAAGTGTTCCTTAAAAGATTTCAGTGCACAGTACACTTTTATGTAGCTCTACATACTAAATGTCAAATGTAGAGTTTTTCAGTCTGAACCAAAGTGGAGGACCAGCTACCAGCACTGTCATCCCTGGAACCATGCTCCAGTGTGGATCAGGTTTCATGAAGCAGATTATCTGACTTTGAGAAACAGCGACAGTATGTGAGGAGTCCTGGGCTGAAAACATACACTTTTATCTTCTGGTCGCTAGGGGGCATGAGTGTCAAGGTAAACAGAGAAAGCTGCAGCTGTATATTTTGTGGCCAACCCCACTGACTTGTTACAGGGAGCACATGTGCACTGAGTTTATTTAATTCCGTGCTCCAAGCCTTGGTGTAAGTTAATCTTTGTTCGAGAGGGTGAATTAATAAAATAACAAAAACTGGATGACTTGAGCTTATTTGGCTCCCTCCAAATTTAGCACAAGCTCCATTGTGAAATATCACATCACTGTTTGAGACAATCCAAGCAAAACACATAGTTTTTACTGGTTAAAAGCCTGAAAGTCCCTTTTGAGTTATTAAGAACAATACACAACCCCTATACATTCAGTTTCCACACAGCAGAGAAGCCTGGGCTTGGTTTCTTGCATTAGCTGATTTTTTATAACCATAGAAAACATGGAAAACAACAGAATAGGGGTTTGGTGAAATGCTGTTTGAGGGAGCAAGGGGGGCTGTTCTGGTTCAAATTAGGCAGCAGTTCTCAAACTGCTCAGAAAAGAGTGTGAGTCATGTATCCCACACAGTGACATGCGAACCATTATTTCCACAGCTCGGTGATAATGGTTGAGGTCTATGTTTTAAATAAAACTGCCACACAGTGATAAGCCCTTAGCAAAAATGTGTTTGTTTCACTATGCACAACCATGGGAACAGAGAGGTTTTATGGATATTTATGAGTATGGGTGGGGAAAGGTTGGGTTCAGAGTATATAAAAGACAAAGTCTGCTTGCTCTTCATCTGCTGATATGGAAGACATGTTCATCAGTAGTCTGTGTGTATATATGTATGTGTAGGGTGGGGTGGGAGGGGTTGGTCCATTGGTCATAGCTGGTAATGGCAACATCCACCATACTGCACCTTATAATTGTGCAATGTTTACAGTTTTAATGTGCAACTTTAATTTGACGTTCTGTGTTTAAAAGTCAACTTTTGCTCTTTTGTCATTTCTTGTTCATTCTCAATGTTTTTTAAATATTTCTGTAACTTTGATAGCATTTGCTGCAACCTACCTAAAAACACATGTAAAGGTTTATAGATAGTGGAACATATTCAGTGGGTTAATTTGGTTTTCACACAATTACAAGACTTACAGTGACTGCCCAGAAGCACATCAAGCACATGACACTGAGCAACTGCAATTTACTTTGGAATATGTCACGTCTATGAGAACTATCATAAAAAAGAAGAGACAGTCATCAAATGATGTGCCAGTTCATTATACCCAAGGTTTGATTTTATATTCTGGTGCTGCTTTGTGTTTGTATGTTTGTGCAACAGGGTGTAGACCCATTTTACCAATGCCAAACAGAATGTTTGTCACTATGATGTAAAACGATATTTGCAAATATGGAAAATGTTAATTTCCAAATGTCTGAAGCTGAATAAAACTCCAAGAGCTTTATAGTGGTTTTATAGAAACGGGCACACTAACTATTATGTCATTCCTGTGCTTTGTCTCAACATATTTTTTGTACTGTAGTTGTGTAACAATGCTTTTAGTGTTTTCTTCCCCTAACATGCCCTCATCTCTCCCCCTTTGCTCCTCTCCCTCTGTGGAGGACACTAACCAATTGCACCTCAGCAGAGTCCCTCCCCTACACTGATAAATAGCACAGAGGACCAGGGAGGGT